GAAACATGGTGAAAAGAAAACTAAACACTAGAAATCAAGGAGCAAAAGAAAAACATAACAGAAACAGAAACCTAACAGCTATAAGCTTAGACTGATGGAGGACATAGAGAACAATTGTCCTCGTTTGGCTTATCTCCATTTCTTTATCCTATTCTGAAGTTGTTGTTAGTTCAACCCTTAAATTATATTCTAAATATTATAGAAGCTTCATCTATTCTGGTTCTGTTTGGCAGTGACACCATCCTAGACACAGCTATGGGCTCAGCTTTACTTGTCCTCTCCTTTATTCTTTTGACATGACAGTTGGCTCATAGCTCATCTGGTTACCCGTTTCTTGTCTTAGCGTAGCCACCTGTGGAGCTGGTTTACCATGACCTTTTCTAACATAGAAAGCATTCATAGATCAGAGCTTCTCTAGTCCTCTTATATGTCTGCTTCTCTCTCCTTGAAGCCCTAGTGAGCCTCGACAGAAGGCCGATCAAAATACAAACAAACATCTACTGTTGCTCATGCTCTTCAGGAGCAAACCCTGTAAAGTCAAACACTTGATGCAATCGACTGCTTTTCCTTAGGATTTAAGGAAACTGGATGAACTGATTGAATTGCCTCTGTAATGTGCATTGAGATGACATATGTTGTGAATTGGTGCTGTAGAAAATAAAATGAACTGAATTGAACCGTCTTAAGTCCAATGTTCCCATTTTGATGAGTGAAATTCAGCAGCTTATGCAGGGACCTTTGTGGTGTCCAGCCTAACTTCCTTCTTGTGGAAAGCTATCTTTGATCTGCACAGCCTCAGTAACCAAACCGTGGCCTATGTCATGTACAGACTGATTTTAAAGATCTGGATTCCTTGCAGATTTGATGCAAAAGCAAACTACAGTTAAAGCCTAAGAGTTTAATTTAGAGAACAAACAGCATTGTAAAGACCAAAGAACCCAGCATACAAATTATAGAGAAAAATGTGTAGAAGTTCTTGAAGTGGGACTAGAATCAACCTACTAATCTTATGACCACAAAACAGGCTTAAATCTGAGGCAACTGGACTTTCACCCAGTTTTATTTTTGATAACCTTTAAAACCCTAGTTGGGAATCTTTGTCAGTTTCCACTAGAGCAATCTGTGCTTGGATGGAATTACAAAGTTTTTTCCTGAATGAAAGTTCGGCAGCTTCTGATTTAACCCTTTTTTTATGGCTGCTATGACCAGGATGACTGAGGATTTCCACTGTCATCCGTACACTTAAAGTCGTAGGGAAGCAGCTGTTCCAAACGTTTCATTTCTGAATTCTCTCGAGTGGTGCCCGACTTTACACGAGTGAATAAAGTGAATGTGATTGGTCGTTTATCAAGAGGGCGGGATTGTTATGGCAGAAGGTTCACAAGCGAGTTTGATTGTGGCCGGTTTGTTGGAAGCATCTTGCTAACCAGTTAGCAACTTAGTGCTAGCAGGTTCCCAATGGGAAATTCCATTGGGACCAAGTAGCACTAAATTGGTGACTTAGAAACGACGCTGTCAAGGAACGCTATGGACAGCGGAAACATGCAAGAGGAGGAGAGTTTAGTGTCGGAGGTCGTGGATGAGTCTCCTCCGTCATCCATTTTTTATTTAGAGGAGGAAAGCGGGGACGAAGATGTTGTGGAAGAGGACGCCAGGGCGGCAGAAGCTTGGTTTGGTGTAGAAGGCTTCCAGCCGTACATGTTTGAGCCCTTGCCTCGCAACGCTGCCAGTTCTGTTAGCTCTACGCCTGCCGAAGACACAGACGTCCATCCCCGTGAACACTGGGAAGCAACTCAATGGGAAAGGAAAGGATTCTGGTTTCAACCGTTGCGTATATGCGTTTTTAATTGTTCAGGCTGATGTATAACTAACTGACCAGTATAAGATAGCAAAAAAAAAAAACCCCACAGATTTTAAGACAGGAAATAGAAATGTTCTAAATTCTGGGACAATATGGTCTGATAAAAAATACATTTATATACATGTTTAAGCCAGAATGATTTGACATTTAAATATGATTTCCCCACGACTTTAGAGGCTTTGGGACATTAATTAGAACCCTAAACATGGACGTCTTTTAGCCTCCTATTGACTCTAGCACCAAAAAAACTAATCTAGCTAACACAATATTTATATCTGTGTAAAAGTACAGTACAGTAAAGTACAAGTCCATGATCTTTAAACTTGTGTTTCTTTTTATGATAATAATACTTTATCCTCCTTCTTAATAACTACAGCAGTTTTGTTTAGAAATTACAATTCTTGCAGCACAACTGACATTGTTCCCATGGCAGCAATTATCTCCCGTCTCTGATGGTTTGCTGCTCTCAGTGCGCACACTGAACAGCTTGGTTGTTTAACATTTCAGAGTAAAAACACATGTTTATCATTTGTTGGTACATGATGAATATGTAGCTATCTGGAACTGTTCTTCACAGTTTTCCGAACCAAATATAAATGTTTGTTTTGAATAAATTGATCATATCACTGCAAAACCACAGCTAATACAATGAAATAAATGGAGTTTATGAAAATGATAATTTGCTATGTGTTTGCACACTTGTTATTTCACCTTAAGAACTATCGATTTGAAGTTTAAGCTTAAAAATGTTAGGCTTGGTCTAAATCTATATGAGAAATAATCAGCAGATTAACTGTTCTGAATGTATAACTGACTGATTTAAATAAGCTTTAAGGTTGCAATCAGGTATATTTCCTATTGGGCCAGGTGCTTCATCCGAGACCAGAGTCTGGGCAAAACTTTTAAAAGTATGTTCACAGGTTTTCCAGTCTGACTGAGCTTAGACTTTAAACTTCCTTAAACCA